AGTTGAAAACCTGAAAGGGCTGCTCAAATGCATGTTGGTATTAGGCATATGGCAATTAAACCTTCTTAAGATTTTGATAGTTTGGGAGGAACTTCACATCTACAAGCATTCTGACAACGTTTGAGATCTTACAGACAAAAGCTTACTTCAGTGCTCTAAATTATATCAAGTTGATTAATTTAGAAATACTTGTGCGAATAATTTGTTGAGTCATTTGAATTTTTATCATTCCTATGATTGTCATGACTTTAAATATATTTTTATATATTTATCATTTATTACAAGTTTATCTTTTTGAAATTCAATTTATTTTTAAAATTTAATTTGTTTCACATAAACATCCTGTAAATAGATTAATATAATCTAAAAAAAATAATATTTCTGGCTATTACTTCATGTTAATACTTTAAAGTACATGGAATCTAAAGTAAGTCTCATCGACATTTTCAATCACTGTTGAAAATCAAACAAGTTATGTCCATCATAGAGTCATTTGGAAGCAGAACAAGAGGAAATTTGTTCTCAATTTGCAGATTATGAATATAGCCCCTTTTCCATGCAGTAGTACAAAAATGTTTCGAATCTACAAATTCTGGCTCTACATCGTATAAGTACCGTGACATTTCAGCCCAAATACAACTGGAGTAAATGTTACATTCTCGTAGTAGAAATAAGGAGATCCAATAGCATCTTCTGGAAATGTTCTTTGAGTTATCTGATCTGGTTCGGTAGGAATTCCAAAACCAATCATTGGATTAAGAAGATGAACTGCATGATCGTCTTCATCAAGAAGCTTCTTTTCAAGCTACTTCTTCTTTTTCTAAGAAAATCATAGCCCAAGTTTTGCCTTTTCTTGTAATTGGGATCATTGCATAATGACTTCCTATCTTTTACTGGAAGAAGTGCGTTAGCAGCCTTAGCCATTTGAACAACACATATAAAATCTGTCCATTCTGCAATTGATGAATTAGGACCACATCTCTACGACTATTGACGACTCATTATCTGAGTATCCCATTTTCATTTAGTATAACAGTTTACTCTCCTCATCAGAATCAGAATTCAGGATTTCCTCGGTATCAGAAGAACTATCAATATCTGTGAAATCACCCTGAAATATCGCTTCATAATCAGATGAGCAGTTATCAGAATCAACATGTTACATAAGTGCAGACTTTTCAAGAGCCTATACCATTGAGTTTTTTTATCTAAGTGGTTTTGTGACATCATGAAAAAATTTAGGCATATCTACATCTACACTCTTCAAAGATGATAGATTATCCATTCAAAGAAGAAAGATTTATGGGATTTCTACACAATTAAAGAAAGACCGAGTTCACCACTTTGAGATGAACTTAACATTACCGTAATCGAAAATGGAATTCCAAAATGCCAAAATGGTATCGATACCGAAGTGGGTATCAGTACCATAGAAGATAAGTATCGACACTGTAGTAGGGGTATCGATATTATTTAGCCTGAAATGTTGAATTAGGAGTTTCATTTCATTTATGTAAATGCAAATTGGTTATTCGTTAATGGAAAGTTGGTATTGATCTTAGACATATTGATGTGTAGATTTGGAAAGAAAGCGTATTGATCGAAGCGATATAGCAAAAGACTGAATGAAAGTTAAAAAGGATTTTGTTTAAGACTTACGTGAGGCAATGGTGAGTGCAAGTTATTTATTTTATAGTAGATATGAGGATGGCTTGCGATAAGGCAACCTCGAACATTTTGATTGAAAACAATTTATTTATTTTATGAAATATTTATATGTTTTACATAAATTGTATATATGAATGCATCAGTATGATGTTTACTAGTATGTGAAAATGAGATATGTGAATATGTTTTATATAATAATGTGCAAAGTGAAAATGTTATACGTGAATGTGCTCTATTGGAATAAAACACGCTATGAATAATGAATTGAGAAATAACTATATAGTTAATGCCTAAGGAATATGTATGAGAATTAGAGGTATAGTTAGCATGCCAAGAGTTGAGGGTTCTACGCGGTCCTTTGGGATAAATCTATGTGGTCCTTCAGGATAAATCTATGTTTTCATTCAGAACAAATTCTACGCGGTCCTTCGGGACAAATTCTACGCTGAAGTTTGGTAAAAATTATATGAGCAGTGGTGACTGCATTAGTGGACAACCTCAATGTACTCAAATACCTTGAGTTCTCAATAGTATGCATTGAGCTAATAATTTAAACTGATATAAAATGGAATAATGAAAAATAATATGTCTTGTTTATAAAAGGTATCTTGATTTCAGTAAGATTTTTTCATATGGATTGAATAAGAAAGTGTTTTAAAAGTTTCATTAATTTCATTATTGCCTCACTAAGTCAACGACTTAGAGTGTGATTGTTTCACACGTAGGTTCAAAGAGATCCGAGGAATAAAGCTAGAAGAGGACAACATACTCCTGCAGAAGATCATATCAGAACAAATTTGAATTGTAGGTTTAATTAGTATTCTGAGATTTTGTTGGCATGTATTATAAAAATTTTAATTGTTATGCTCTGATCCGTTTTGTAAGTACAATATTTTAAGTGTATATATATATATATATATATATATATATCAAGTATTTATTTTTATTGAAAATTGTGATTTCTAATATTTACTTTTCCTATGAGGGGTTCACCACATAAATCAACATAAAAGTTTAAATTTTTAACGGATTTTTAAAGAGTCAAAGTTTTAAAAAGTAAATGTGACACTTCGAATTTGTATCTGGGTCGAATACGGGTTGAGGGTGTTATATTTATTGGTATTAGAGTAAAGGTTTAACTGATTTTAAGTTCGAAATGAAGCAATTCTTGTTTTTAAAAAATGTACATGCCAATTAAAAGTTAAAAATATCTGATTTGATAAGGTAATTAGTAGGTTGTCCTTACTGATAGAATAATGATTTTATCTTAATAGATGTAAAACGACGAGGGCTCCCAAAGTGAAGTGGGAGATAGACATGAGGGAAGTAGTAATTCACTAGCCCCAGTAAGGCATGGTGAAGAGCAGGTGCATCAGGGAGTGCCTGTTCAAGATCAAGGGATCGTTTTTAGGACATTGGATGCAATTTTGATGCGTTTCCAACCGTCTGCTCCCTCAACTCCTAGAATGAATGTGGCAAAGGAGCTTAAGAGTCTAAAAGCGCTGAAATTTAGAGGAGAAACTGAGAAAGGTCCTGTTGCTGCGGATTTTTGGTTAAACAATGTGAAAATAATGCTAGAGGGTCTCTATTGTTCTAAAATGGAGAAGTTGCATAGAGTAATTTCATTGCTACGAGAACAAGCATGAATATGGTGAACCAATGTGACAATGAGAGCATAAAAAGATCAAGTGAAGTGGTTGTTCTTTTTGGAAGAGTTCAAGAAAAAGTATATAGGTGATTAGTTCATCCGTCAAATGAAACAAGAATTTATGAGTTTGAAACAAGGGAATCACACTGTGTATGAGTACGAGTGCGAGTTCAACAAATTGAGTAGATTTGCAATTGAATTGGTTCTGACGGAAAAAGATTCATGTGATTGGTTCGTAGAGGGTTTGCACCCTAGATTGAAGGATTTGATGTTACTGCTGAACCTTTATACATTTCAAGAGGTAATGAATCGAGCTAAAGCCTTAGAGCGAGCTGGTGCCTCTGCATCGCAATCAAATAAAAACCGATGTTCAAGTTTTAGACCTCAGTCCAGATCAAAGTCAGATGCATCCTCAGGTCGAGAATCAAATCTTAGGAGAGATAGCAGACTCAATCAGTTGAATTAGGAGAGTCAGCATTGTGGCATATGTCGAATTCTCTCAGGAGCATGCTTCAGATGTGGGGAGACAGGATATTTTATCTAGGATATCCCATTGATAACCGGAGAGCCCGTACAGTATGAGAGATCTGCTACTGTACCTCCAAGAGGTAGAGGATGAGGTCGAGGAAGGAATCAGTGTGAGTCAGCCACTCAACCTAAATTACGCTCAACTGCTCAAGTCTATAACATTAAGACTAATGAGATCGTGATGATCTAAAGATCGTTGCAGGTACTTTTCAGTTAATTGATAAGCATGTTTTGGTTTTGATTGACAAGAGATCAACTTATTCTTATATTAGTAGTAAATTGGTGATAAAATTAAAAATTAAGTTAGAAGCTATAAGTAATGATGTGATCGTGAATAACCCATTAGGGCACAATGCTCGGGTGAATCAGTTGTGTCAAGGGTGTCCCATAAGGATTCAGGGAATTAAATTCCTTGTTAATCTGATAGAATTACCCTTTGATGAGTTTGAAATAATATTGGTAATGGATTGGCTGTATCATTATCATGTTAATGCTGATTGTAGATTGAAGCGTGTAGCTTTGATAAGTCCTGATGGATCAAAAGTAATTGTGATCAATGAAATATTTAATCCATTAGCTAATGTAATAACAGTGATGTCAGCTCAGAAGTTAATGTTACAAGGATGTCAAGTTTTCATCGCTAATGCGATTGATACTTGATTCAATGAGAGAAGACTGAAGGACATTCTGACGATCAAAGAATTTCCAGATATATTTCCAGCTGAGTTGTCGGGATTACCTCTGGATAGGGAGGTTGAGTTTCAAATTGAGGTAATGCATGGAACGACAAAAATTTTGATGTCTCATTACAGAATGGGCCCGAAGGAACTGAGTGAGTTAAATACTCAATTGCAAGAACTATTGGATAAAGGATTTACCAGACCTAGTGTGTCACCTTGGGGGTGCTCCAGTTCTATTTGTAAAGAAGAAAGATGGTTCGATGCGTCTCTGTATTGATTATTAGCAACTCAACATGGTAACAATAAAGAACAAGTATCCTCTCCTAAGAATTGACAACTTTTTTGAACAACTTAAGGGAGATTTGGTGTTTTCCAAGATTACTTTGTGTTCTGGTTATCACCAGTTGAAGATTCAAGAAATGGACATTCCAAAAATGACTTTTAGGACTCGGTATAACCATTTTGAATTTGTAGTAATGTCGTTTGGGTTAACTAATGCTCTAGCAGCATTTATGGACCTCATGAATAGAGTATTTCAACCGTACCTTGATCAATTCGTGGTTGTATTCATTGATGACATCTTGGTGTATTCAAAGACAAATGAGGAGCATGATGCCCATCTCCGGGTGATTCTTCAAACACTGCGAGATAAGAAGATTTATGCTAAGTTGTCTAAGTGTGAGTTTTGGTTAACCTAAGTGGCATTCCTTGGACACGTGGCTTTTGCAGAGGGGATTTGGGCAGATCCTTAGAAAAAAAAAGCTATATTAGATTGGGAAGTCCCAAGAAATATTTCTAAAGTATGGAGTTTCTTGGGATTGGCAGGATATTATCGAAGGTTGATAAAGGATTTTTCGATGATTTCCTCCCCTTTGACCAAACTGTTAAAGAAAGACATGCCTTTTATATGGACAGATAAATGTCAAGAGAGTTTTGAATCCTTAAAGAATGTACTAACGGAAGCTCCAATGGTAGTGCAACCAGAATCGGACAAAGATTATACAATTTATAGTGACGCTTACCATAATGGGCTGGGATATGTCTTAATGCAAGATGGAAAGGTAATAGCTTATGCTTCGAGACAACTTAATTCATATGAGAAGAACTATCTGATGCATGATCTTGAGTTAGAAGCGGTGGTGTTTGCACTGAAGATATGGCGCCATTATTTATATGGTGAGCGTTGTTACATTTATATGGATCATAAAAGTTTGAAATATTTGCTAACTCAAAAGGAGATAAATTTGAGATAAAGGAGATGGATCGAGCTACTTAAAGACTATGATGCAATCATAGATTATTACCCTGGGAAAGCCAATGTAGTAGTTCATGCACTTAGCCGAGAGACTTTTGTAGCTCTACGTATGTTAGATGCCTGACTTGTATTAAAGGACAATGGTACTTTAATGGTTGAATTAAAGTTAAAACCACTATTGATGGAGCGAATAAAGGAATCACAAAGGAAAGATGAGAAATGCTTAGTTAGATTCGAACAAGTAGAAAAAGGTGAAATCAAGGACTTTGAAGCAAAGTCAAATGGATGTTTATACTACAAAGACCGAGTTTATGTTCCCAATGATGAAGAGTTGAAAAGAGATATACTTTCTGAAGCACATTGTAGTCAGTTGACTATGCATCCTGGAGGGAACAAGATGTACAAAGACTTAAAAGGGAGTTATTGGTGGTCAGGCATGAAAAAAACTATTACAAAGTTTATTGCAAAGTGTCTAACCTGCCAACAAGTGAACGCTACACATCAAGTGGCTTAAGGACTTTTACAACCGATCTCCATTCCTAGTGGAAATGGGAAAGAATTACAATGGATTTTGTAATGAGATTACCATTGACACTAAATAAAAAAGGATTCTATTTGGGTCATTGTGGATAGATTGACAAAGATAACCCACTTTATTCCTGTTCAAAATGATTATTCAATGGATAAGCATGTTAATCTATACATCAAGGACATAGTTCGATTTCATAGAGTACCAGTTTCTATATTATCTGATAGAGATCCAAGATTCACTTCAAGATTTTGGAAATCTGTACATAGAGCATTGGGTACTAGATTGAACTTTAGCACGACCTTTCTTCCACAAACTGATGGTTAATCAGAGCGTTTGGTTCAGGTTTTAGAAGATATGCTAAAATCGTGTGTGATTGATTTCCACGTATTTTCCGCTTGTAGAATTTATGTACAATAACATTTATTAATCAAGCATTAAAATAGCATCGTATGAAGTGTTATATGGAAGGAAATATAGAACATCGCTTAATTGGTATGAATTAAAAGATCAAGACGTTCATGGTTCTGATTTGATTAGAGAAGCAGAAGAAAAGGTTCAGGTGATCCAGCATAACCTTAAGGTGGCATCAGACATACAAAAGTCCTACGCGGATTTGAAAAGAAAAGAGATTAAGTACCAAGTAAGTGACAAAGTGTTTTTGAAAGTTTCTCCGTGAAAGAAGGTGCTTCGTTCTGGTCAAAAAGGAAAGCTCAGTCCTAGGTTCATTGGACTCTTTGAGATATTAAAAAGAGTTGAACCAGTGGCATATCAGTTATCATTGCCACGAGAAATGGAAAAGATCCACAATGTCTTTCACGTGTCTATGGTCAGGAGATACCGATCAGATCCTTCACACATAATAGAACCGGAGGAAATATAAGTTCAACCTGACCTGACCTACTAGGAAGAACCAGTTCAAATTTTGGCATATAAAGTCAAACAACTAAGGAACAAGACGATTCCATTAGTTAATGTTCTCTGGAGAAATCATAAAGTAGAAGAGGCGACATGGGAATATGAAGAGGACATGAGAAAATAATTTCCTCATCTCTTTGTACAGTGAAAATTTGAGGACGATTTTTCTTAAGGGGAGAATTATAATACCCTAAACATCGAGTTAGTGACTAAAATATAAGGAGATAAATATTGGGGCTTAATTTGAATAAATTAAAAAGTTCAAGGACTAATTCTAGAAATTTGTGTAAAGGAATTATTATCAAAGATGGAATATTATAAGGGCATTATGGTCTTTTAAAGGAAATAAATTTAATATTCCTTTTTAAAAGATATTAAGCATGTGTGAAAAGGGAAGTAAGGAAATAGAAAAATCTGGAAGCCTTTGGGATATCTTCTCTTCTTCCTCATTCTACTATGATTTCATATCTAAGATAAGATATGTTTCAAGTTTGTTGTTTCTTTAATTTGTGGCTTTTGTTTGAAGCTTTTAGTGGTATATAAGATTAAGGAAGCTTAAAGATGAAGAGAAGCTGAGTAAGGAATTATTAATGAATTAGTAAAATGGGTTTTCAAGTGAATGGATGAAATTTAGTTGGTAATTGGGTTTTAAAAGCATATTTGACTTGTCAATGGTGTGAATAAGAAATTTGAAGCCTTAGAATTGATTGAAAAACATGTTTAAAAATTTGGTGTGATTTTTAGTTTTAAGTGTTCTTTGGAGATAGTTGGATGTTATAAGTGAATTAATGAATGTAAGTTAGTTGGGAGAAATGGTATTGAGTTTTGTGGCATGATTAGAGATAATAGTAAGATATTTAGGTAAATTTAGGAAAAATTTAAAGTGAAATAAGTAAAATCTAGGTAAGAGTATCGGTACTGTAAGAACAGTACCGATACTATAAGGTTAAATTTAAGGATGGAATATGAATATGATGAATAGTATTGATATCGATTGAATAAGTATCGATACTAATTTGGAGGTATTGATACCAAGAATAATGTATCGATACCGTAATCGAAAATGGAATTCCATATTACCAAAATGGTATCAATACTAAAGTGGGTATTGGTACCATAGAAGAGAAGTATCGGTATGTACTAGGGGTATCGATACTATTCATCCTGAAATGTTGAATTAAGAGTTTCATTTCATTTATGTAAATGCAAATTGGTTATTCGTTAATGGAAAACTGGTATTGATCTTAGACATATTGATCTGTAGATTTAGAAAGAAAGTGTATTGATCGAAGCGATATAGCAAAAGACTGAACGAAAGTTAAAAAGTATTTAGTTTAAGACTTATGTGAGGCAAAGGTGAATGCAAGTTATTTATTTTATAGTAGATATGAGGACGGCTTGCGATAAGCCAACCTCAAAGTTTTTGATCGAAAACAATTTATTTATTTTATGAAATATTTATATGTTTTACATAAATTGTATCTATGAATGCATTGGTATGATGTTTCCTAGTATGTGAAAATGAGATATGTGAATATGTTTTATATGAAAATGTACAAAGTGAAAATGTTGTACGTGAAAGTACATTAAGTGAATGTGCTCTATTGGAATAAAACACACTGTGAATAATGAATTGAGAAATAACTATATGGTTAAAGCCCAAGGTATATATATGAGAATTAGAGGTATAGTTGGCATACCAAGAGTCAAAGGTTTTACACGGTACTTCGGGAAAAATCTATGTGGTCATTCGAGACAAATTATATGCGGTCCTTCGAGATAAATTCTACGTGGCACTTCGGTGCAAATTATATGAGCAGTGGTTACTGCATTAGTGCACAACCTCAATATACTTAAATACCTTGACTTCTCAATAATATGCATTGGGCTAATAATTTAAACTGATATAAAATGGAATGATGAAAAACAATATATGTATTGTTTATGAAAGGTATCTTGATTTCAGTAAGAATGTTTCATATGGATTGAATAAGAAAGTGTTTTAAAGTTTTATTATTCTTATTATTGCCTCACTAAGTCAACAACTTAGCGTGTGATTGTTTCACACGTACGTTCAAAGAGATCCGAGGAGTAAAGCTAGAAGAGGACAACAAACGACTGCAGAAGATTAGATCAGAACAAATTTGAACTGTAGGTTTAATTAGTATTATGTGATTTTGTTGGCATGTATTATAAAACTTTAAATTATTATGCTCTGATCCGGTTTGTATGTACACTATTTTAAGTTTATGTATATGTATGTGTGTATATATATATATCAAGTATTTATTTTTTATTGTAAATTGTGAGTTTCTAATATTTACTTTTCATACGAGGGTTTCACCACATAAATCAACATAAAAGTTTAAATTTTTAACGGATTTTTAAAGAGTCAAAGTTTTGAAAAGTAAATGTGACACTTGGGATTCATATCTGGATCGAATATGGGTTAGGGGTGTTACAAATGCTTTGTTTGAATTATTTTTGAACCATCATAGCCTATTATTCCTTATTGTCTTGGTGTGATAGGAACAATAATGCTTTGCTTCTATTATTTGAATTATCATGGTTTATTATTCCTCCTTGTCTTGATGTTGCAGGCAGTCTTGAATGTCATTTTATTTTTTTACTTATTCTTTTCGGCATTGATAATTTCGACGGTGATGGTGTCTTTTGTGAGATCAACGGCTCTAATACCAGATAGTCTGATAGATCTGAGGATCGAGTGTTGAAATTGGTGTTTTTTTATTTAATAAAATTTATTTTTAAAAAATTTGTTAAAATAAAACAGAAATGAGAAAACTGGGAGAATTTTGATTTAGAGAGAATTTTATTCGAATAGGAAAATTAGGTTGTGCCTTACAACATAGAATTAGAGCATTTTTATAAAGAGTTCCATCATCTTTTTACAATTTAGTTCCTACTAATGGAAATGAAACAAATTATACAATAATTCAAAAGATAATTCATAATAGTTTGAAATGACAAAAGGCTAAACAATAATTTTATATAATGCTCGTCCTTTTACATTATAATGAGAACTCCTTTTACTACTTGATGCTTGAATTCTTTGAACTTTCATAGCTTATTTTTCTTCCTTGTCTTGATATAGAAGGAACAATAATCCTTTGTTTGAATTCTTTTTGAACCATCATAGCTTACTATTCCTCTTTGTCTTGGTGTGATAGGAACAATAAGTCTTTGCTTTAATTCTTTCAATTATCATGGTTTATTTTTTCTCCTGGTGTTGATGTTGCAGGGAATCTTGAATGTTTTTCCATATTTTTTACTTTTTCTTTTTGGTATTGATAATTTTGATGTAGACAGTGTCTTTTGTGAGGTCAACGACTCTAATATTGGATAGTCTAGTGAATCTGAGGGTTGAGTGTTGAAATTAGTGGTTTTTGATTTAATAATTTTTTAAAAAAATTATTAAAATAAAATGAAATGAGAAAACTAGAAGAATTTTGATTTAGAGAGAATTTTATTCTTTGAAAGGGGAAATTAGATTGTGCCTTACAACATAGAATTAGAACCATTTTATAGAGAGTTCCATCCTCTTTTTACAATTTAGTTCCAACTAATGGAAATAACTAAAATTATACAATAATTCAAAAGATAATTCATAATGGTTTGAAATGACTAAAGACTAAACAATAATTTTATATGATTCTCGTTCTTTTACATTATAATGCCAACACGTTTTACTACTTGATGCTTGAATTCTTTGTACTATCATAGCTTACTGTTCTTCCTTGTCTTGATATAGAAGGAACAATAATCCTTTGATTGAATTCTTTTTGAACCATCATAGCTTACTATTCCTCTTTGTCTTGGTGTAACATGAACAATAAGTATTTTCTTTAATTCTTTGAATTATCATGATTTATTATTCCTCTTTGTCTTGATGTTGCAAGGAATCTTAAAAGATTTTTTAATTTTTTTTACTTTTACTTTTTGGTATTTGATAATTTTGACATAGATAGTGTCTTTTTTGAGATCCATGACTTTAATACCGGATAGTCTGGTGAATCTGAGGGTCGATTGTTGCAAAATTATTAAAATAA